TACAATGGTATTTTGCGGACTTCCCACGTCCTGGAGGATTGGAAAACCGGCAAGGTTACTATTCTGCCGAAACCCGAGAAAGACAAGCGTAGAGCAGCTAGTTACAGGCCGATTACACTGCTGCCGCACATAGCCAATTTATTAGAAAGAATTATACTTAGAAGAGTCCGCCCGCGCATACAACTTCCGTCGGAACAACATGGATTTAGGAGGGACCACGCCACAGAAATACAGCTGACCAGGGTGCTGCACTTCCTAGTGGCCGAACACATCTTCCTCGATATCGAGAAGGCGTTCGACAGGTTGTAGCACTCTAGATTACTTTACAAGTTAGAACAACAAACGAGTGTCCCTCTAGCTATGCTGCGTCTAGTGGCGTCATTTCTAGCTGACCGGAGGTTCTACGTCCGTGTCGAGCATGGGGAGTCCGCAGCGAAGTCAATCAGAGCCGACGTACAACAGGACAGCTGTGTATCGCCGATCATGTACGCAGCTTACACCAACGATATACCAACACTGAAGGAAAACCTACGCAAATGGGAAGACGATGGCTCTATATGTAGACGTTAACGCCCACTTTACATCGCATGCAGCACCTGTTGGACCTGCTGCCGCCATGGCTGGATGAGTGGAATCTGGCCGTCAATGTTGACAAGACCACCGCTCTACTCACCCGCCGCCTAAGAAAACTTCCTCCACCGCCGCTGACGCTAAGAGGCCAGGAGACAGCGTATCAGAAGGCTATAACCTGCCTTGGATGCCGAATAGATAGGATGCTGCTGCACATGACTGCACACGTCGACATCGTCATCCGCAATGCCAGATATGCGCGGGCGAAGGCCCGTCCTGTCCTGGCATCCAAGCTGCCACTGAAAATCAAACTCAAAATTTACAAGCTCTACATAAGACCCAATATTACCTACGCTGTAGCAGCCTGGTATGCTCTCCTGGGCGAACGACAGAGGCAGCGGCTGCAGGCCCAGCAGAATTTAAGCCTTCGTACCATTGTCGGTGCAGGCCGCTACGTCCAGAACGACATCATAGCTGCCAACCTAAAGATGGAAACCATTAAGAAGTTCGTGGTCCGGCTGGCGCAGTATGTTCGACCACGCCGACAACTGGCCACACCACCACCTGAACAACTTGAACCTCTACATGCCCGGCCCCTGGACGGACGACCTCTAACAAGAGAACTCCACTCTACATAGATTAGGAGTCGAGTAACAACCCATAATGCCACAGAAAGACCAACTTTGACAACAGATAACCAACAATTAAAAAAAAATAACTTAACCAACAGCGGCAGCGACAACGCCGTTTCACGGCTCCACGTGCAAGTCCATGCAGACGACAATAGCCAAGCCAATTTGCTATTCATTCGGGACGTCCGGGACCAGCTAAAGTTTCCAAATATAAATCAAGAAAAAGAAATAAGGGAAAATAAAGTAAAAGTAGTGAAATTTCAATATCGCATTTCTAAGGGGCATTTACGAACAATTTATGTTACATTGAAGAATCCTTCAGTGCTCACTCTAAAAGTAGGGAAGTAAGGGAAAATACTGTCCATTAAGTACATGACTGACGTAAGACCGGGACTATTCCTTAGAGGCCCGTAATCTGTCCTCAACCCATTTCTTTTAAGAAACGGGGTTGTTGTACGGAGTCGAACGGATAGGGTCACGTCCACCTCGTTGCCCCGAACCCAGCGTGGTGGGGTAGGTTGTTCTGTGATAGGAGGCGCAAGACCCGTGCCTCAGAGGTTCGTTGTGGTAGGGCCTTCGCGGCCGGATTAAGAAGCCAGCCGAAGGGAGAGGCCCGAACACCGTTCCCGTTTAGTCGTTTGGAGCCAAGGCGGGATATGAGGCCAGTATGGGAAGAGAAAGATGACCTATCGTTTTAGTTGGTCATTCGTGACCGGATCAAGAAAGTAGCCGAATCTGATACAGAGACGGTAGACACGTGTCAGACTAGTAAAGGAGGCCTGATGAAAATATAAGAAAAATCTTATAGCTTCCAATACTTAGATGGTAGTGTAACCATCTCGTTTACGTCAACGTAACGCCCAACGTAGGCTGCGCTTCACCACTAGCGAGGCGAGGTGAGTTGAGAAGAGAATTGAAGTCTCGCCGATATATAATATACTCCGTGCTCTCTGCCCATTATCAACAAAAATTGCCATTACAGCTATGGCGACCTGGCCATCAATATTGGCAGATATCGTGAGTTCGATATTTGTACGAGTTAGAGCCACGCTGCAAGTTGTAGCACGAATGGGTCGGCTCGACCGAGGAAGGATCTCGCTCTTACAAAATACCAGCATAAAATAGCATCTAAATACTGCTGTGTTCGTATGGTAAGTGTAGAGATCCGGAGACCCTTTTCTACTGAACGAGGCATTCCATCTTAGTCCTCAGAAGTGACAAGGTATCTGCGTTTTAATTCTTAATCGAGGGTGTCTATGAGCCACAGCATCCACTTACCATCAGGTGGACTGTGTGCAACTAGCAAGAGTTAGTTTAAAATCAATTACTAAATTCTACCCGGAACGACAGACAGACAAATGGTAAAATATTTTCGTTCTCGCCTGGTATATTCTCGCCAGGCAAATTCTCGCCAATCCAGACCATTTCCACCGAAGATGCGCTAGGAAAGCATTGCTATTTCGCCAGCTGTCTCACCGCACCAATCAACCCGACCGGCGACGGACAGCAGCGTCAAAGGTGCGAGACATCTGGTACTGCGATGGGAGAGGCCTAGGTCTAGATTAGATATTGAACATTTACTAGCTGATAAAAAAGTGCACCTAAACAATCATACTCATAACATTCTCCTGTAGTCGGTAGTTGAAGAGTCTGGGAAATCTCTAAAATTGAAGAAAAAAATGTTCAACTTATATTAAATAAATATATAATTATATTCAAATAAACAAACTTAAATGTATAATGTTAGGCTTTATAATTTATTATTGTAATATAATGTTATATTATTGAAAATATATTTTTCTTACGTTAAAAAGCACTTTTGATACCCTTTTAGAAATTATTTTTTGAAACATTTTAATAATGTATAATTATAGTCCCTAAGTAAAAACATATCAGCATTTGGAAAAATTAATTACAAGAATAATGTTTGGAATGCCAATATGTCAAAAAGTTTGGGTGAATATTATAGAAACCTTTGTTTTTCCCTTTTATCTTCATTATCATCACACATTCCATTCTAAATGGCCGAAAACGCAATTGCACTAACTTGTCATAATCAAAGGTTATACAAGCATACGGCTTATCATTAGGTGAGCTGTATACTTGTCTGCCTCCTCTTCTAAAAAAAAATAGAAAAATACATAAATGCAAGTCAAACATTCGTTAAGTCTGTCAAAATTAAGTACTAATAGGTAAGTAATATAAATACTCATCATATGTATGATACTTTCGTATATCTGACAGAGTATTTTACATCGCATAGATACTACAGTTTACTTAGGTACATTCGTTAACTTTTTAAAGTGCTTATCTTTAGAAGATAATAAATGCCCTAACAAAAAAATTTCTACATATATTTTAAAGAAACAATGTCTTGAGATAGCAAAAAATATTACGTATTTTTTTTATAGAAGAAGCGGCAAACGAGCATGCGGCTCACCTGATGCCGCCCATGAACAACCGCAACACCAGGGGTATTGCAGGTGCGTTGCCGGCCGTTTAGAAAGGAGTAAGCTCTTTTCTTGTATGAAAAACTATTTCATAAAAGTAAGAATATAAGTTTTTTTTTCTTTAATAATGTCCTCCAGACTGAATTTATTATAGTGCCTAAGTGTATACGCAAGCACATGAGCACTCTCTATTCCCACACTCTCATAATCCGATGGGCGGCTAACACGACTGGAGAGAGATCAGGCGCAGGACCAACGGCTTTACGTGCTCTCCGAGGCACGGGGGTGAGACACCGCCAACTTCCTGACTCCGGAAACTACTGAGCAAAACTTTGTAAGAAGATCTTTGAACAGGAAAACTTGTTCTATAATCATCTTCGAGATGACATTGTTCAACTCTGTAGGTCTTCTGCAGACTTAATGATTTCTCTATACCTGAAGAAGCCGAATCTCATAAGTGTCAGGCTGTAATTATATAGACTCTCTTACCCTTAAAACTGAAGCAGGAATTGGTATGGCGATACCAATCCAGATGGATCTAGACACAAAAAAAAAGCTATCTATACATATAAGTAAAATTGAATTGTCTATCTTTTTTCTATGTTTGTGTCTATCTACTTGCATGATGTTGAATCAAAAATAAACATTTTTATAACTTTTTCTGTCTTTCCAGGGTAACCTTCGGATTGACTGAACCAACTGTGATGAAATTTCATGTACAGATAGAGAGCAATGCCAGAGGTGATCCAAGCTATTTTGTGTAGGACATGGAGGATTTTTAGTGATATCAAGAAACTGATAAAATAAATGTTTTTATGCTGAATATCTCATAAACAATAAGAAATATAAATATTTGCTTTTTTACACAAAGAAGGTTCCCACACCCTATCTTATCTCTTAAAATTTTGACACAAAAATGATATTTAACAATTACACTAAAATAAAGTAAAACCTACCATTTTTACTTGAAGTTATTTATGTGTATAAGTTCTGTGTGGGCAACGTGTGAGAGCTGGTTATTGAATAATATACAACCAGTCATTCCATTCTTGTAACTATACAAAAATATATTTGAAAAAGTTCCAGTATCTGTTAGAAAGTAATAAAAGTTAAAAAAAATATTATTATATAACATTTAAAAAATTCAACTTATGTACATAAGGGTTTTGTGACACTCATATATTTCTAACTATAAAAATTGTAGATCATGTAACTACCAGTATGTGTTTACTTAGGGACTCTCTGACATGTATATACATATAAACAAATTAAATTTTCATGTACAATTTACATATTACATAAAGGCAGTAAAAACTTAATCCAATTTACTAAATAAATAGATAATTTATCATTTTATAGGAGCATTTACCAGCGACGCTGTTGTTACAGCATTTCCACAGATTTTACCAATTAATTTATTTCCCTGCCAAACAGCAACAAGTTCAGTGTTTGTTTTTAAATCTGCTTGTAGTTTTTCCCAAACTTTCTTCTTAGGATTTAAAACATCATCTGGTTCACCAATCTCATAAGTTTCAACTACAATTCTTTCTCCAGGCTTGCTACCTATTGGAGGCAATAATGGTTCCACTTGTTTTGGATCATCAATAGATGCACAAAGTACCATGCCCTTTGATTCAATACCTCGCATTTTAGCTGGTTTTAAATTACACAAAACAACAACCTCTTTATTCTGCATACATTCTATTGGAACATAGTTAACCAATCCTGACACAACTACCCTGGGCTCTTCTTCCCCAACATCGATTTTTTCTACATAGAGTGAGTCTGCATCAGGATGCCGAGTGACTTCAACAATACGCCCTACTCTTATATCTAACTTTACTGGAGTGATATCTTCATTTCCTGCATTAGGAATGGCTTTAGCTTTTTGTAAAGGTGGATAAGCTTTTTTTGCTAATTCCTGAAGCTTAGAATCTTTGAATATTTCCTGAATCGGAGCTAGAAGCATATTTATAGCTTGTTCTACAGAAGCCTTTAAGTCGCCTGGATGAACATCTTGCTTTGCAAAAGCTTCTTCTAAATCGGCAAATTTAAAATATTCTATATCCCCACCATATTCTTTCGCACGGCTAACTTTAAAAGCCTCATTAGGCTTCATTAACGGAAAAATGACATGTTTTGTGAAAGATAGCACACCATTATCAGTTATGTTACCAGGTTCACAAAATGCCTTCTTTAACTTCTTTTTAACATTAGCAGGATTATCAAGTAAATCAATTTTACTATCTTCTTCAGAAGCAGACATTTTCCCTCCTGTAAGACCAGGAACCATAGGATTCATTAGGTGAATCCTCTTAGAATAGCCTAATTGAGGTAAATACTTTTCAGCCATGGTAAAAATTTTCCTTTGATCAACTCCACCAAACTGAGCATCAACTTTTAGATACTCTTCATCTAAAGCTTGTAATCCGGGGTACAAGAGCCCACTAAGCAATGGATGTTCAACTTGTTTTACTACTTCCGCTCCAGCTTTTTTTGCATCATGCTCTGTTATAACAGATGTCAACCGATACACATCTAATGTATACTCTTTACTTAATTGATAATCCGTTCCTTTTACAAAACGAAGCTTTTCTAATGGTACTCCAATAGATGTCAACATTGCTTTGATAGCTGTCTCATAGTACTGAGTGCGAAGAGATAGAAGCTCCCACGGCGCTTTCATATTGTCTAAATAGGCATGTAAATCAGCAAATAAAATTGTTACCTCACAACCAGCTTTAAGAAAGTCAGCAATTTTCGACATAGGAACGAAATAAGCAACATGGGGGCGTCCTGTTGTAGCTGTGCCCCAATATATTTTAACATCCCGCTGCTTAAGAATTTCTATTAGCTTTTCTTCGCCTAATACTTCTTGAAGATTACGAGTTATCAAATATTTTTTTTCTTCGAAATCTGCCATAGTTTTTAATTGATAACTGAAAAACCAAAAGGAATATTAAATATGACTTAAAAGAATAAACATTAATTTTGTCAAACGTCTGCGAGTTAATTAATCTAAATGTGAAACTAAAATAATCTAAACAAAAATATTATATTATATAAAAATATTATATACCTTTACTCTTAATATACAACAAAAATTAATTAATGGTAAAGTATTAAAAAGTCAATGAAATGAAAATGTAACCTATTTCCATTCTGGTTAAACGTCACGACGTCACGTCAGCCCGAACAGTGTTGCCAGATTTTTTTCACCTTCCCATAAACATATTCATAGAAAGTAGCGCTCTATAATAAAATGCATCCTGCATTAGTCATCTACATAACATTCTAGTGGTGAGAGAATTTTCAAAATTGGTCAAGTACCTTACGAGTTTAGCCAAAACCATATTCGTTGATAGTAGCATCCTTTATAATAAAATGCATCCTACGTTTCACAGTCAAAATAGCATTCTAATTGTCAAAGAATTTTTAAATCTATTAAATATCTATACCTAAAACTTACTACACCGATAACTTTTTGGACACTTTAATAATAGTCCAGGTTTTTGATAAGCGAGTCACTGAGTGATAAAAATCGTACTTATTAGACCTTTATAATCTAAGAATTATTATTTAATGTATCTTGGTTTATTCATACAATTTGGAACTCTAACTTATCATGGTGTCCTTATTATGTATGCAAATTTACAGTATTTAGATCTAATAGAACTAGAAGGGTTCAAAAATGCTTCGAAATGGTTTTATTTTCTAAACTTGGTGGACACACGGGCGGGTGTTTAGATGCCAAAAGACTGTTAGAATCTGGAATATTCATCAATATTTTTAGGCAAACTGCTGCATGTGATATAAGGTCGCAATTCTGCTAGACTTGCAATTCTATGCTAAATTTGGTAACCCTTTGCAGCTAACGTACATAGCGTAGACAGAGAACAAAGAATAGTCTATGGAGTGTGGAAGTAAGGAGTACAGACTGTGTATTAAAAAGTGTCCATAGAAAACCGTTAAATAAGGGTGGCGCCACTATAACTACGGGGTAAATTTTAAAGAACGCGCCGAAAAATATTAGTGGGATAGACGACTTTTTCGAGGTTATATTTACTAAATAAAATTATTTTAGATATTAGAGCTACTGAGCAGTTTAGCAGCACACTTAAACCGTCGACAACTGCTAAGTTCATTTCATCCCAGTAGCTACTACAGCGCTGTTGTAGAGGATTTTTGAACTGTTATTTACTGCTTACAGATGGCCACTTTTTCAACTATTCTACTATGGAAGTTGGTGCTCCTTACTTCTACACTCCATAGAATAGTCTATGCCAGATCATTATAGATTATACGCTATAATAGTAGTAAAGTGTAAAATATAAAGCCCGGGAAAAGTTTCTCCGTATTTTATAATCAAATTAAAGACATTTTTTTTCTTCAAAGTTTAGTTTATATATGTGTAATTTTTTCGATAACTTGTTGCCATCTTGTAGGTAGTGTACAAAGTAATCTATGATATAATCCCACTACCGTAGAAATCATGGAGCTGTACAAAATCTTGGAATTTTTGATCAAAAAAATGCGACCACTTTATGACAATCCTCTTTCTTAATTTAAATGGCTTTACGGCTCTGGGTTCTAGCCCTTCTGAGCCTATCATTTCTTTCGGAATCTTTATTTTTATATATTTTTCTTTACAATATGCTAATGCGTCTCATTGCGAATATTTTGGGAAATTTTGACGACAGCTCAACTCAGCGGACAGTTGATTACGACGGCCACTCAAGTTCATAAGGCGCCCTAGAAATCAAAATAACTTGAGATTTATATCAACTCCAAAACACTTGTTTCGTCGTTTTCTCTAATAAATCATACAAGCAGACACTTAATTCACAAAATCGCATCACTTTTGCTGATCAAAATCCACTTTAAATCACTATTCAAGCGACAAAACAGGAGCGACAATCCGTCGACGGTCAAGTTCCCGGAAAAACTCTATGACAATCCCATAGATTACTGACTATGTACTAGAGAGACAATCCTCTTGATGTTAACCACAGAGTAAATACTTTTTACACAAAGTACAGTCCGTTTCCCAAAAGAAGTCCCTTAGCCGCGGCATGATTGTCTTTGACAAATTTAACATCTGGTGTCAAATTCCATACATTAACTTTTAGTTCGCATAATTTCCGCGAGACTTTTTTCCTGAAACGGACTGTAATACTTTTTTAATGTTAACTTTTGTAGAGGTAAAGAGAACAGATTGTATATTAAAAAGTGGTCGTAGAAAAGCATTAAATAAGAGTGACGCCACTGTGGCTAGAGGGTAAATTTTAAAGAACTTTTTATAACATTTTATTGCACAGACATTCACCATAATTCTTTTTATAATAATTATTTTGTTTTCAAAAATTTTATTTTTCACTTGTCCATCCCTATGACTGAGTAAGGCAGTGTTGCCGTGCATTTGGCGCTAGATCTATTGCAATTCTAGGGTCTATAGCGCTTTTTTTTAGATATCTCAACCCTGAAAAATATCTTGCGGAATGTAGCAGAAAATTTGATATTAGTTGGCAGCACAGTCTCATAAAAACACTAGCCTATCTAGTTTATCGTTCGGATATTCTCCGAATAAAATGTTGCTGATGCGTTAATTGTTTTATCTCCCTTTTGCGTTATGCTATTATGTAGCTGTATTGCTTTTCGTTATATTAATCCTCTAAGCTTTAATATCTGAGAAGAACTGGTTTTTCCCACTTTCGAGTTTCGTGTTAGTCTTTTAGCTCAGTTTTATTTGTTTCGTGAAAATTTTTAACGGAAGTGGCACCAAGGAAATTCAGCGTACTGTCGCTTCAATGGCCATTGCTACTTCAGCTTACTAATCCGTTCGGCTATGTCGGTCACTCTGGTTTTACTGCGGATATCCTCATTTCTGAGTCTATCACGCAGAGAAACTCCGAGCATAGCCCTCTCCATATCTCCTCCTTGAGCGTCCTCATACGGCAAGCAGTGAAGGACCACGTCACAGATCCGTAAGTCATCACTGGCAACACGCACTGGTTGTACACTTTAGTTTGCAGAGATTGAGGTATACCTGACGAGAAGATGTGTCGTAATTTCCTGAACGCTGCCCAACCGAGTTGAATCCGTCGATTGACCTCTCGGTCGAAGTTGGACTTACCTAGTCTGACTATTTGTCCCAGGTAAACGTACTCGTCAACAACTTCGAGCATAGTGCTCCCAACAACTACCGGCATAGGTGTGACATGGATATTAAACATGATCTTTGTTTTGTCCATGTTCATCTTAAGACCTATCCGTTGGGAGACACCATTGAGGTCATTGAGCATAGTGCTAAGGTCCTCCAGCGATTCTGCCATAAGGACTATATCGTCGGCAAATCGAAGGTGAGTTATGTACTCGCCATTGATGTTAATACCGTATCCTTCCCAGTCCAATAGCTTGAAAACGTCTTCCAAAGCAGCGGTGAAGAGTTTCGGGGATATAACGTCACCCTGTCTTACACCTCTCTGCAGTTGGATAGGTTTCGTAATCTGGTTCTGTACTTGGATAGCCATCGTAGCCCTACTGTACAAACACTTCAGCACTTCGATAAACCGACAGTCAACTTGGTACCGCTGAAGGGACTGTAGCACCGCCCAAATTTGGACGGAATCAAAGGCTTTCTCATAGTCCACATATGTCAGGCAAAGTGGCAGATTGTACTCTTCGGTCTTCTGTACAATCTGCCGCAGGGTATGTATGTGGTCTATGGGTACTGAAGCCTATTAGGAAAACGGCTTGTTCGGGAGGCTGGAAGTCGTCGAGACGATTCGTAATAACTCCCGAAAACAGCACGCAGACGCGGCTCAGAAGGGAAATCGGTCTGTAGTTCTTCAATAGAGCGTTGTCGCCTTTCTTAAAGAACAAGACCACCGTACTTCTGCTCAACGCCTCCGGAGTAGTGCCACCATGGAGGACGGAATTGAAGAGCTTCTGAAGGATTTCAAGTACTGTTGTTCCACCCGCTTTCAGAAGCTCCGCTGTAATTCCATCCTCGCCTTGTGCCCTGCCGTTTTTAAGGTGCTGGAGAGCCATTCTAATCTCGCTCAGGCTGACGTCCGGGATATCATCGGAATAGTGTCGGATAAGACTTGCTCTTGGATCGTTACTCACTCTTGCTCGTGGCTCCAACGATGATGTGTACAGCTGCTCAAAGAATCTCTCAATCTCACTCAAAATCTCAGGTGTCCCAGAAACGATGTTGTCACATTCAGAAACAAGAATTATATGTACAATTTGAATCACCTATCTGTTTTTTATATTCTTTGATCAGAAACAATACCACTTCTCTTTCAAACTCACTAAATGGGGTATTTTTATCTCTTTCTATTTTTTCTGACAATATATTTTAAAATACGAACTTTTAAATTCGTAAACAATACGAAGATAAATTAAGGAAATATTAAACGAATGAAATATGATTCCTTTTGACTTTTGGAAACCTTTCTTGTGTAGTTTTAACAGAATCTCATCACATATGACGGCATTTTCGATGCAAAAACAAAACGTGAATTACTATCAACACCGTTGTCAATGACGCGACGATAGCGCGACGTGTGAGCTCAGGTTTGCTAATTAGCATAGTTTTTACGTGCCACTTGCGGTGCGCGTATAACTTATCTGCCACTTTTTCTTATAATATCATTGTCAAAAACAATAACAGAGACTACAAAAGTATTAACAAAATCAACAATATTTATGTAAAAATCTCCCAGAACGCGTCTAGCTAACTTTGCGAAACCGGAATATTTTTTTAGTTTATGATATTTGGGTTACTATTTATGCCAATGACAAGTCAGACTGAAGTTTTAGCGCGTACGAAGAACGCATATCGCAACGTATATTTTTTGTTGTCTCTACCGGTGGGTGTGAGTATACAGTGGACGAGCAAGATACGCCGTTTTCAGTCCCATTCTTTAACCGTACGAGTAGTATGGATTGTGTCAGCGAAGCTGGTATGCGTAAGCATTTCCCCAAGTAAAAAAGTAAAGAAACATGTTACCTAGAATACAATGCTTTCTTCGCTTTTGTATTATGCTCTATGAAGAATATGAGTATATTTTTTTTGTTCGAACTCCGTTTAATTTTGTTTGATGTTGTGTTAATTGTTTAGATTCCATAAAATATAACAAATTTTAGGCTGTATGATGAAAAGCTTTTTCCTATTTTCCTACCAATTACATTTTTTTTCATTTTACTTTAATTTTAAAATGAAGAAATGAATTCCATGGTTTATACTAATTTCATATTTAGCATTGTACACAAAATATACAATATATACCTTTTTTATTAAATACGTAAGCTTGTTTACGTAAGTTTAGTATTGAATAATTACCCACAGTGCCCACACTTAATGTTATAGTGTTTCCATTTTAATATATCATCAGTTTAAAACATTATTGAATTTACATATTTTACAAACAATTTGAAATAACTTATAACAAAAAATGAAACGATTTACACATGATTTTAAATTACTGTAGTATAGCAATTCTAAACTTTTAAACGGTTTTTAAAATTGCCGCTATAGTTGAAGTGAATGCTCGCGTTTCCTGTCAAAAGCACCATTGCGCATGACAGTCAGTGCGGCCTTGCAGACTGAAGAGCGCTGCCAACAAAGGCCGAGTCGATGGGGTTAAAAAAAATTGTTAATTTGGACTTTTAAAACCCTTTTTGTTATCATAATTATATTTAAAATAGGTTGTGAATCTGTGATTACGTTAAGAAATGAGTGAATGATATGTTTCGTGACGACTAGCAAAGAAGTCAGCTGGTCCTCAGTGCGAATAGTGAATAAGAAATGGCGGCCTTGCCAGCAGGTGTTCAGTATGGGTTATCATCTGAGTCTAGTTATAAAGAAAACAAGGAACTAGTGTTTGTGAAACTTACGGATTCAGCATTAAAAGCTATAGAAGATTTCATTAGGAATAATAGGGTAAGTTCATACGCCATATTGTTACGACCAAAACAGGCCAACAATGTCAGGCGCCATACTTTTATTATAAGTAATCGCAATGAATGTGTATATCTGTAAATATTTTTGCAAAATATTATTTACCATGTATGTAAAATTCGTAGTAGAATTGCCATAAACGGATATCTGCGGAACTTAATTCTTCCCTACTGTCACGCCACGTCAACAAGTAGAAATTTTAGTCTTTATTTTTACAGAACTTACTTTAATTTGACTGTTAATACTTAAGTAAAGTTCTTAGCTTTATGCAACTATAATCAGTATCTTTTTCAATTTGCTTATGTAATAATGTCTGGTTGTCTTTTAACATTAAATCCCCTTTTGAAACAAATCTTGTGTAATTGCCTAGGTGCTTTGTCACCTCAGAAGGGATTATTCTTTGCTTTTAGCTTTTACCCAAGATAATCAGAATAAAAAGAAAAAGGAACATAATCATGACTTTTGTTAAATAATTGATGGGCTTACATTATATTCTATTTATATATTTACTTTACTGGCAAAAACTTATTATTTTCCAATTTTATAGTTTTATATATTTTTTAATTTATTAATAATCAAGTCCTCAATATGTTAAATGCCCATTTGTTTATTTTGGCTTGTTCTTCTTTATTAACTAAATTTTCTTTTATTATTACATATGCTGCTTCTCACCTTCTGGAAATAATGAAGTATTATGTGTATACTCTGCACATTCTCTAACTATGGAGAATGTTATGTAGTATATGAGTTATGTTTTAAAGAAATATTAACAACAATTTTGTATGTTGTTATAATGTAATTGATAGTACCCGGTTGACCGAGCTTTGCTCGGTATTTTTCGCTCGTTTTTTTTTTAATTCGTGTGTTTTGGAAATTATATTTAGATACAAATTACATACTGATGAAATACGAATAATATTTTTTGATCTTAGCGACATAATAGAAAAAACTGAACTGGTTATTTGAATAAAAAATCATGAGTGCAATTAGTTTAATTTAAATTTTCGTGTTTTTAAAAATACTAAAAAAAAAGGGCTCGTAAAAATAGATTGTCTCAAAAAAAGAAAGGAACTTGAAAAAAAAATTAAAAAAGTCGGTTGGTCGGTCTGGGCTCGAACCATGGTATTACGATTTTGTGACTGCCCAATATACCAATTAAACTATTTGTAATCATTAATAAACTGTCAAAATTTACCTTCTTATTCTACCGATATTGTAAAAGTTTTTCATTGCCTAAAAACATGGACAAAAAGACATTTTCCAAAAATAAATCCTAGCTAGATCGATTTATTGCCCCCGAAACTCCCTGCACACAAAATTTTATGAAAATCGTTGGAGCCGTTTCCGAGATTCCGATTATATATATATATATATATATATATATACAAGAATTGCTCGTTTAAAGGTATAGGATAGATCTTGATTTTGCACTTTCCCAATTCTTTGCAGAACTTTCTATTAAATTTAACACATTGTGTGATACAGACTTACTAGTTGGAAAACTAGAAACATCTTGTGAGCTTTGTCTGCATCTCAAATGTAACAGTTTTAATACCTATATTATTATATTACTTAATTATTATATTTTTTATAAATCCTGTACTAGTTTGCCAGATGAAGTTGTTCATGTTACTTAATTTATCATTACTTGGGAATAATTTTTATTCATTTATTAAAAAATAAAAAAAAATGTTTTAGTAAAAAATAAAACAGTAATTTGTTTCACTATAGGGAAAATAGTGGAGACATTCACTTTATTGGTCATTTGTTCTGTATATCACTGCTAAATACTGACTAGGGGAAAGACTGCTGGGTATAATGAAAATAAGTCTTCAATTTTAAGTTAGTAAAAATACATGTAAGACAATAGAAGATGCAATACAACACTTGCTCGCGGAATGTTCCAAAAATCATCATGAAAGGAAACTATTAGTTGCCAAAACTGACATTAAAATATGTAACGTAGGGGAATATCAAAGCATTCTGTCTGAACCATTGTCTAATACTGCTCAAATGGTATATAATTTAGTTGATATTTTGTGTTAATAATTTAAGAAATTGTAGTGTGTTATTAAGGTACAATGGGACTGACATGTTAAAAATAATGTAAGTCCCTAAATAAAATAAAAAGAATTAAAAAAAAAGTTAGTAAAAATAATAATGAGGGATGTTTAACATGGGTTCAAATTGAATAAAAATTTTGGATACATACAGATCAAATCAGCCACACAGAAAGTTGCACCATCTAGTCATAAAATTAGTGTTTCATGGAATTCTAGTGACATCAAGATTTTTAGCAACTTCAATCAATAGGTATTTTATAATAAAAAGTATTTTTTATTTATTCAGTTCACCTGTGAGCTTGGGTGCTGCAAAGCACTTGAAACTTTAAAAATAAGTTAAAATTGAAAGCATCATTTATTTTAAGGAATAGAGTTTGTTTGTCTCTGATAAAACATTGGGTTTTATTATTTAATCTCTAAAACCCCAAGTGGTCGGATTCGACCGCACACACCCACAACACTTTAAACCATTAAAACTTATATTTAGAGACTACTTTTCAAGGTAGAAGTTTGGCATTATAGAATCAATATGAAATTTTCTATCCTCTAGCACAATAAAAAGTGAGTTAGTCTATGGATATTTATTTATAATCTATGTTCATTACGTGCGCCATTTTCATTTGGATGTTGTGTTGATTTTTGGATTTTTCTAATGTTTTATTAGTGTTTTACCATTGTGTTTTATTATAAAATTGTAATAAAAGTTTTTGTGTGACTATAATTTATCTTTTTAAGTAAATAATATCGAGTAATATATAGAAAGATAATAGTGATTTTCACACTGCAGATATCCGCTTGGTATGTACCCATTTATTGTTATCAGAATATAATAGTGTTTTTGTAATGAAGTAAAACCTGACTTTTGTTTAGACCACAGGATAGAGAACTTTGTAAAGATTTATGTCAAACTTCTTCATAAAAAAGTAGTCTCTAAATATAAGTTTTAATGGTTTAATGTGCTGTGAGTGGGTGCGGTCGCATGCAACCGCTCGGGATTTGACAGACACATGCAACTGCATGGGATTTTTATGGGTATTGAAGGGTTAATACAAGACCCTGGCCAACATTGCCTAGATTCTCTTATTCAAGTAAAACTTCTTAAGGTGCAACTTAAGGGTAATTCAGATCTTTTCTTAGACAGAAGACATTTTTGTAAAATCTGTATGTATGTTTACACAGTTTTTATATTTTTAAAGACAACAACTGACTGTGGAACAATTTTCAGACATTATATATTAAGAAGCTCAAATTTAATAAAAATAAAAATTTTATATAGCAGAAATAGATATTACTTAAGTGCTATTTGTTCAATATTTACTAATTATTTTGTTACTTGTGTGGATTGTTCTGGATTTATTGTTCATCATGATAATGCATATATGTCCAATATAATATATAAATATTAAGTATTTTACAGTGATGTACAGAACAAATTGTTGATCATCAAAAAATGCTAATCCTTCCATTATGTTCCCTGATACATGCTGTATATGTAGAATAGCCTAGTAGTTCTTGCAAAATTCGTCAGATTCTTTTGTAACCTGTACACTATTTTGTAAAAAATATAACCTCCAGTCACACAAATAATTAAAGGTGTATGCATTCCTGGAATTTGAAATGTAGTAGAGAGTAGTTATAAACTGTCACACATGTAGACTTGATAGCTTTCAAAATTCTAAACAAGCCAGTTTCCAAAAAAATTTCAGAATCATGGTCCACATATGTAACTTCAGCAATTGTACAGAAAACAGAAGAGTACAATCCAATGTCTTGCAGATGTGGATTATGAGAAAGGTTCCAAATCTGAGTAAAAACTGCCCATCTGTAGTGACAAACAAACTTGCAGTGCAGTCTGCAGTCCATGGACACCTGAACCAGCTCGATTCTGCAGATGCACTGTCACCTTTGAGATTTAGTCTTAGTTTATGTTGTGCTATTTTTCTGCAACTCCATGTCTAAGCGCATATTTTGCATAGAGGCTATTTTAGTTATTCAACCATTAAATCTCAAGGAAGTTCTGCAGTTTTTTAACATTGCTGACAACCTTGGAAAGCGACCTTGGTATGCCGGAATATCGAGCCCTGTATGTGTGCGACCTCCCCGAACATACCTGTAGCACATGGACAAATCCTCTTCTCTCATACATGCTCTGCTGTCACAATTATTGTATGAATGTTTGTTAAAAGCACCCCTTAATAACACTTGTGCCATCCTGATCTGTGGTTTGTTTAATCTCATTAGCCAAGGTTTCCTTAGCTTGTCTACAGTCTTCGAGATCTTTCCAAAGTTGAACATGTTGATTAATATAGTGTTTACATACCAATGAACAAACATTCCTGAAAAGAATCAGTATGATTGTTTCCGGCCATGTGGCACCTAGAGCTGATTCTTTGACAAGTACATCAGCTGCGTTGTTGCTCCTGGATAAATTGTGTTCTTTGATCTATAGTAAGTTCACAGTGTTGTATTTATATAGTACATTTAGATGTTGATTTCATCCATATATTAGCCCCAAGTTTAACACATTGCTATTCAGAGTTTGTTATTGGTTATTATTTGAACGGAGAACCTTCCTGAAATCTATTACTATCATCACCTAAATTATACCTCTTTCCAACGCGCTATGTGAATTTTGAGGTCTTCTGAGAATGTTTTAGATCCTGTACCTTCATTTGATTTAAAACCATTCATGAATATTTTATGTCCCTCATAAATATTTTTTGTCGCCTCTGCTATTTAATCTGTACTCGGAGAATATTATAAATGAAGCGCTAGAAGCTGTTAAAGTAGGAGTCCTTGTCAATGGCCAACTGATTAATAACTTGAGATACGCTGACGACACTGTTCTTATTGCATCTTCAGAACAAGGTCTTCAAAAAATACTAGACCGCATATTCGAGTGCAGCACAAGATCAGGAC